TGGCACAATCGGCCTCTGCGTGAGGCGCACACGTGAAACCCTCGTCGCCAGCCGCCCGCTGCTGCCAAGGCAGCTGCAGCCCCAAAACGCAGCGAAACGCTCCCGTTGCAATCGGGCGCCAAGCTAAATGCAGTAAACGTGAATGATTTCCCCAAATGGAGGCTGGGGAGAATCATCAGAAACAAATTAAAATCAAAATAACTTTTCAGTGGGAAACAATGGAACAGATGTAAAAATATTTATTACTAGAAACTGTTAAACATGCCAATTAATTTTAAAGTGACTTAAATGGATGGGATGGTTTGAGCTGGGAAACATGAACGAGTTATGAATCATAGGAGTACCTTCAGCAATGCAGATACGTTTTCCTGGAAGTCTGCTCAGAAATCAATGGGGAAAATAATCTAAAAAGTCCAAAAGTGGACAATAATCTTCCTGTTACATTCATCGTCTCCATGCCCCAGTTACTCTCCCTAGAAACGTTTCCGTTTTATCACCTTGGGGACTCTGACACTGAATACAAAATCACGGTCGTTCCCCACGGCACCCCCCCGAGGCCTGCAAACTCATCACACGCCTGGAGCAGCCAAAGTGGCCACAGCCAAAATCTCTGTTCCTCGCAGGAAAATCCCCGGGGACGATTTAAGGCCAGACCTTGGCACAGATTTCTTTCCCACCACCCAACGCCTGCAGCCTTTTCCCCTCCAAAATTCTTTCTCCACTCTCACTCCCGCTGCATTACTGACTTGAAATCACCAAATCAGCTTCAACAGGCAAAAATGAAACTGCTGTTTCCAAACGCCTGCTTGGCCATTTAGGTCTGAACCAAGAAAGCACTTGGCTGAGGCCAAAATTAGCATAAAACCATACGAGCATTTCATGAAGCTTTACACTCAGGAATGGTGTTAGTTCACTTGGATGCTGAAAACGGTACAGATGCTCAAATGTTCAGCTAGATCAGGGCATAAGTCGTCCCTGTTACCATACAGACGTACTATTATTAAAAATAGGAAATAATTAGGCACGGTATTTATTTTGCCATAAGAATGTGAAAATCCTTCCCCATAAAAAATGTATAATGCTTAAAAAGATGTTCATCCTACGTTGGGACATGAAGTGAAACATGAACAAAAAAGATTTAGCATCAAGGTCTTCTGAAACAATTCAATTTCAGGAAGACTGAAGGTGATTTTTTTTTCTGCTGTTTCTTACATGCTCTCTTAGAAGACCTTTACCCATATTGCTTCCTTTGGTGCGCAGACAGAATTGAGAAGGGCTTTTCTGGCAACAGACTAGGAAACCAATTTAATTTTTCCAAAAGGAAATTAAAAGTACTTCACAGCACTGAAATGTGTCCACTGCAAAGGCCGATTTTGCAAATGAATATTTTTCTTTAGAAAATTACCCGGAAATATTCTACACAGCTCTACTTCTTATCACTTGCTTCCTTTCCTTTCACATTTTATATAGCAGCCCATGTTTTCTTAAGCAAAATTGTCATTTTCCTCCCAAAACAGTACTATATTTAGAGAGGTTATAAGGAGGTATTAATAAAATTCTGGTTATTTAAAGAGTACAAGATAAACATGACACATCCAGTCTCCTAAATAGCAAGCAGCTGGAAGAACACTAACAATGTCAATGTTACGTGTAAACTCCATTTTTCTATCAAAAACTATGGAAACAGAAAAAGAACTAAGAAAAACCTGCTGTTTGCATAAGCTGAGACTTATTGCTGTTGACTCTGGATATAACCATTGCAAGAGACATATTGCCTCATGCTTTGCTATTCTGATTTCAGCAGAAAAGGTTTTATTCTGATTTTCTTCCTAATAGCTTAAAGACCAGAGGTTTTTTTTTTTTTTTGGCAGATTCATAGCAACTGTCAAAATATCTTGTTCCTAAATCTAAGCAGTTTTTCTTTTCCACAAAGTGACCTGAGCCCCTGAGATTCTGATGCGTGTACACATGAAATGGCACCTTCCGCTTCATGTTACTCAGTGAGAGCTTTGGATCTATGAGGATCCTAAAATCAGACTTTTACCACAAGGGCGCAATTATATTCGAACGCACAGGTATCTACAGTTGAGGTAAGAGTAAACAGCAGGTTCGATGCAGAAGGAATTTCAGCGCCCTTTCAGTCTCCACTGCCTTGCCCCAACATTCATGCCAGAGAGAGGTGACATCCTTCATTGGCAGGGACCCTGCTTTCTCTGCAGGAAAGACGTCTCTCTGGACATAGCATTCTCCAATGTTACCTAAATGTGATGGACCTGCTGTGGAGCTGAGGACCCATCCACCTTGACTTTTAGCAGAAAAGGTCAGATGAACCTCTCTCTTGAAGCACCCATTGCTCTCTATGGACTAGAAAGTGACCCGGGATGCCTGCCTCTGGTGTAGTGGGTGCGATGAGAGCCCTTGGGCGACATCAGGCATCCAGACAGGTTCGCCTAGCAGGTGACGGGCAGAGATAAACACTTGCAAAGACTCATCCGTTCTAACTAGCTATTACAGTACCTACCTAGAGGTTGGGATGAAGAGGGCGCCTGAAGGACTAACTCAGATGTTGAACCTCCAGCTAAGGGGCAGATGAATCCCACCCTGAGACGCTGCAGGAAACGTGCTGTAAATTCACAGTCTGCACTTGCCCTGCAGGAAGGCTCACTCCCACGAAGGCTAGCCCTAAATCCCAATGTCGCCACTGCACAAAGGCTGCAGTAGCCATCCTTGTGGAAAGGGTTAAAAAAAAACTCAAGTAAGGAGAAGTAAATTGCCTCGGGGCACTTTAGCTGTTGAAGTGCAGGTGTCACTTATGGAAACTTCACAAAATACAGTCTTTTTCCTACCACCAATACTAAGGCCCACAAGGAATTAATCTCACACTTACAACCAGATGCTGCAATCAACTGCACTCAGAGAGAGGGGGGAAGGACCCACCGCATCTTACAGGCTGGTTTTCCTCAGGCGTAAGACACACAGCCAAACTGCACTCCCGGTGACACCGGCAGAGTTACTCTATTAGAGTCAGTGCAGTTATTCTGGATTGATACCAAAGGAGCTGCGAGTAGGAGCTGGCCAGTTGTCTATTACTCACAGCAAGCTAGGCAGTTCGCTCTTATTTATGGGTTTCTCCAGCAGCCAAACCCTTACAGTTGTATTTCTTCCTTTCTTATTAAATATTTGCTTATTATTTCAAAACGCTTTGACTATGAGGACTTTTTTTTTTCCTTTTCTTAGTATAGCTCAGGCACAGGAAATACGTCACACTCTGCACCATACTAGCCAGCAGGGCATATTGCTTACTGTCTGCTCTCTCCAAGTGATACCCCCTTTCCTCTGCCCTGCCTCAAATGAGGGGTGAAGTCTACAAAGCATAACAGAAGCGGTTTAAATAGCAAACACCTCTAAATATGCTCTATCATTCCAGGATAACCCTGATGTAATACCACCAAACGATCAATCATTATTATGCCCTCTGCAGTGTTTCCCATACTGCGAATGATGATCATAGCAAGAAACAAGAGTTTCTTGTTGAAAGATGAGTTGTAAGATCTCCCTTCCTGACTCTTTTCATGGCTTTGGTTTTCCGCCTTGATTTCCCAGTCTGCTTGAGCAGTTTGGGCCATGACATGTCCCTAGCGAGGACCTGGCTTGATTTGGGGCAGCCCAGCTCCAGGTCAGCTTCAGTGCGGTAGCTGGTCAAAAAAGCTGGTGTGGAGCTAGTCATCACAGCGGAAGAAGACAAGCTGAAGAGATCTGCTGTTTGTACATTTAGCAAAGAGAAAGGCTGCAGCATTGGCAAGCTGGGCCTTGGGGAGCCCTGCAGCAAAACCCTGTGAACCTATTCACTGATTTGTCCCCTGTTTGGAGGAACAGGACTGTGTCCCAAAAATATCACATTTCCACATCACCCTTTCCTCAATGGATAGAGGTATAAGACCCCAGGTTGCAGTGGAATTACTCTGGCTGAAAAGGATAATGATATTCCCCCTCATGAACTAAGATTCAAAGTTGACATTGCGGTAGAGGTGATAAGGCAGGACCTGTTTCCAGTAGGTTTCTGTACCCACCTACACGCCAAAGAGCATCATGAGGATGAGGAGGAGAGGCTGAGGGCTCCCCTCTCCCCTTGCTGCCACGGGGTGCCCCCACGGCTGGTGCTTGTGGCTGTCTGACCATGCCACCTTCCCTGTTAAAGGAGAGTTTTGTCTAAGCGAGAAACCTGTGCATGCGCAGGAGAAAAGGAAAACAACATGATACTCGCTTGGCTCAGTCCCCGGAGAGGTTATGTTTTACTAAAATAATATTTAGATCCGCTCATCTTCAGCTTCTTAAAAAAAATGATCCAAACAAACCCAAAAGTATTAACAACATTGCAGTCTGGGCTTGAAGAGAGATTAGGGAACGTTTATGTAGCTTAGTATTTTTCTGATTGCTCCCAACTTTTCCTTGCACAAGCATCTAAATGAGGCAATATGAACACAAAAACTAAGTAGCATGGTTGAATTAAATTCCACTGGGGGAGGGAAGAAGCAAGCCAACCTCAGTAAAATTGATCCATTTAACATTCAACAAAATAGAGAGGAACCTGCTTAGCTGTGTGTGTAGATAATTGGGGATTTATAGGTCCATATTTCAAAACTGCTGCAACAAACTTCAACAGCAGCTTAAATCTTAGCTCCCAGCTCAGCTGAAAGCCACAGAAAACTGTTGTACTTGAAGAGTCCTGCTTCAGTTTTTAGATTATTTTTGGTTCCCTCAGCACGAACAAGCTGAACCAAGCCATAGAGAGAACCACCTAATCTGCATTTTTCAATCATAGGAAAAGAATCAACTTTCTTCTAAAACTCAACCTTTGGCCTGAAACGCAGCATAAATATTTCAAGGCAAAGGAAATTGAGAAAGTTCAGAAACACAAATCTGGAGTTCAGCTTCCCTACAGAATGCTCTGCCCATGCCCACAGAGGAAAGAGTATTTTAGAGGCTGAGTATTTTATTACCTGCAGGACAGTTTATGAAAGGATGGTAGTTGTGCAGGAAACATCTCAAGGCGAAAATAAGTAGTAATCCTACCTGGAGAACAAAAATAAAATAGGTTAGCAAGGGGACAACTGGGATGAGGTTTGGTTGCTTTAAACATCGCTGCAAAAATAGTTTAGAAACTGCCTTAGTGACGTAGCACAAGACGGTTCAGGGGAAATCAATACCAGGAAACAGTGAATTCACATTACTCGCTATTTGGTCTTACTCAGATTTATTGGCTGATAAGTGGATCATGCAAATAGGTTTAAAGTCATAACAAGATTATGTGCGAATGATAAGGAGGTAATAGCCTATAAGGCAGCACAATGCAAACCAAGAAAAGACTTTGGTGATTAATGGGAATAAAGTACTGCAATAGTTTACATAACATTTGGCAGTGGGACAACATGCAAAAGCCGGATGAGGTTGTGTTAGAGACGTGAAAATAGAGGCATAGGGCCAGTTTTACTCAACCTGCAATAGGGAGATATAAATTATTCCTGTCAGCACCCACCAGGCCCCAGAACTACCATATTCCCCCTTCATCCTGTTTTCCCCTGGCTTTTGCTTCCCTTGGCTGGTGCCTTCCTCAGAGAGCCGGCAAGCGAGAGCTGCTGCAGCTTCACTTCTCAGGGGCAGATTTTCTGCCAGTGCAGATTCAAAACGCACATAATTTCAGCATGCCCAGAGAGGAAATGGCTGCTTTTTATGCTAATGCATTGATTATGCAAATTTCACCCTGTTAAAATGCTGTCACAGCCCTAATAATCTACAGTGGCTTTTTCTTTTTTTTAGAAGAAAAGGTTCGCTGGTGTTGTCACATAAGCCCATGGAGGAGCACCTCGGGGCCCCTGGGATGGGGCCCCATCACATCCTCACCCCCATGTTCCTGTGCATCGTGTTTCCCCCAGAGAAGGTAAGCCAGGTGTGGTGGCTGGAAAGGAGTTGTGGTATCTGCATATGTGTATATATATATTTATATGTATATGTGCATGTGTGTGTATATATATATATATATACACATATATATCTTCAATATTAGAGTACTGTAAGTCAATGTCTTGTGAAAACAAATGTTTACATGCCCTAGTACAAAGAAGGTTAATGTTAATTCACACAAAAATTAGCTCTTTGAATAGTCTGAAAGCTTTGTATGGTCATTAGGTCACTAACCCTTTGCCTATTTTTGGTAATAAATTAGCACTGCTGTCCTGCAGACAGGGAGGGCGAGACAAGCGGCCAGCAAGTGCTGTGCACGTTCCATCGCAAGCTGGGGACGGTGAGGCTGTGGCCCCAGCCACTGTCACACACCGGGGTTCAGCCTAAATGAAGGCAGAAAAAAGATCTCCAAAACCTGCCTGGTGTCCTGAGGACGAGACAGCCGAGGCCATGGGAGATAGATGAGTGCGCGGAAGGATGCGTCAATACTGTCATGCACCAAAATCAGTCAAATTGCCCTCATCTCTCTAGACTAGGGAGGCTCCAGGAAGAGCCACTGCTGCAGAGGCCAAATTCCTGTTCCTGCAGAGGTAAATACCTGCTCGCACAACAAAACAGTGGGAAACAGTGATTGCATGCCTGCTGCTCGTCTCCTCGGCGTGCAGCAGCTACCCGATGCAGCGGGTTGCAGGAGCGCCCGCAGCCCCTGCACGCTGCGGCAGAGATCAGGCACGTGAGAAAGCTCGAAGCTACAAAATCGCCTCAAAGCCGAGTGGGTCTGTCCTTTCATAACCACGAGGATTCCTTTCATCCTTCCATAAGCCACTAAATGAGTCTTAATAACGAAAGCAAATCAAGTGGGGAAGCCAAAGCAAAAGTGCAGGGCAGCAAACTGCTTTTCAGATGGAGCTATTACTATTGACACAGGGAGCAAACAAAATCAATGTGAAATAACCTGTTTGGAAAAACGTTGGTTTTCCCCGGGTTTGTGCTTTGTGTCCCCGCACTGTCCCCTCTGCCTGTTCCGCATCAGCCCCACCACCTGCACCCGGCCTGACCTGGGGGCAAGCGCTGCTGCTCCGCCAGCTCCACCGGCTGAGATCCGATTGCATTTCCCTCCGTAAGGCCACCTCGGTTGGGACATTGCTGCACAACTGGCAATTTTCATGCAACCGCTGAGCATTTTGTCTTTGAGACATTACGCCTCCGTGAAGATCGGTTGGAAACAGCTAACAAGTTTAAAAACGTATTGTGGGAGAAGAGACAGACAGCACAATCACAGAGCTTCATTTCCGTAAGAAACAGGGCTAAAATTGTTCACATTATCAAGTTACTATAATACTGTCTTGGTGGAGGACGCCTTCATCATGCCTCAAATAGTTGCATGCTCAATCTGCTCAGGAGAGGCGCAATTTATGGACGTATTTAACATAGCTGACATCTGTCTTACTGTGTTATAAAGTATTTTTTAATAAATCAAATACTTCACCGTATGACACAAGTCTTAACATGAGAAACTAACAACCCTGAGAAGGCATCCACACGGACTCAGGCTGAACATACATCAAACCCGCAACATCCCATGGAACAATAGGCCTAACTATCAGCAACCTACCCATTTTCATAAATAACGTTTTGACAAAAATGAATACAGAAAGGGATTTGTCAAGTTAGTTTTCATTCACGGGTCAAACGCAGGCCCGATTTATTGCATGCATCTTGACGAAATTGGGGTAAAAGGCACAGAATTTGGCCATCAAGTTTGTTAAAGCTACACACTGAAAGGACACAGAAAATTCTGCAGCAGATCTTCAGCTGGCAAAGTTATGCTGACTTACATGTCCTGAAACCATTTAAGGAATTCCCAAGTTATGTGCAGTACCCTACGGCATCCAGTAAATTCCACCATGCAGATCATGTAGACTGAACTGCTGTTTTGGCTTCTGCTTTTTCTTTTGGCTTAGTTGGCTTCCATCAGCGTTTGAGCAGGCAGGACGACTCACACCACGATGACGTTGGAGCGGTGAATAGCTATATCTACACAGGAAACTGATTTTAATAGCTCTTTTTTGCCTAGTCCAGGTGAGGAGTGATACCACGTGATCTCTGTGCTAACCACGAGCCCACGTGGCTCCAAGTTTAGGTATGGGGTTTTGGATATTGAAATGTTGAAAAAAAGGCGAAACCTACAAAGCAGGAGTAGGTCATGGAGAACACCTAGAGGACACTTCTGAAGCGTAAATACATTAAGGTACACTCAAATCAGGTCTGAACTTCCCTGTGCAGAGGAGAGGGGTTAGACACCTTGCGTCACTGCTGAAGTAAGAACTTGCCACCAGGATCACTGCAGAAGTGAAGCCGAACTGATTTCCTGGCTGAGTGACCAGGTATTGCTGTAAAGTGTACCTCAGCTGTCATTTTACTCGTCTTCCCACTCTGACTTTTCTCAGTACATGTTTGAACTGAAGCTTATCTACAAATCTGCTCTCACTTTCCATAGTACGAGTACTGCACAGATCTGAACTGTAGCAAACACCAATGCACTGCAAAAACATTTCCTCTTTTCTCTTTGAGACTAAAGAAAACCAAGCAAAGCGCGTTAAGCTGAGTACTGTAAACCTCTACCAGCTTCTTGTTCTCCCCCTGCCCCTGCCCTCCAAGTGGCAATGATAGGGAACCCATTAAATATGACTCCTAACATGTGTCTTGGTTGCATTCACGAGAGAAAGACTACGTGCAAAATTCAGCCGCCTTGCCCTAGAACTTGTCTCCTAGCAGCAAAAAACAGAAGATAAAGAATGTTAAAGATCAACTTGTCTTATCATGCTCCAGCTCCAGATGGATTTGTGCAGACAGAGGCATAAATTATACCTTAAAATAATGGCTTGACACTTGAGAAAATGATTACGGCACCTTTCTTCCCCATCTGGTCTCATCAGCCAGCTTCCCATCTCTACGGCTCCAAGTGTAACGCCCAACCGAATTACCGCCACAAGGCCAAGAGGGGAGAAAACGTTCCCACATCCAGAGAGCGCTCACGGTAAGTCTGTAGTTCCCTTTGAGGTGCTGGGGAGCAAATTTCAGAAGGAAGTCTCCCTTTTCCCCCATTTCTGCATCTTCAGTGGGAAGCGCTGTAAGCAGCTCCCGCAGAAGCATGTCCGCTCTGCTCCTTCATGTAACCACAAGCGCATACAACTAAAGGGCAAAGCATGCTTAAGCCACCTTGCAAGGAAGAGGGTGTTACTTCCCCAGACCCTCTATGGCAGGGGGGAACTTTTCAGGGAAAAAATTACTTTCCAGACCTCTCCAAAATAACATTTAAAGCACGAAGCAGGGAAGAAGTAAAGGGCTGGAGTGGAAATGCCCTAATATTAGTATACCGAATGGACAGAGGCAGGCCCAGAGGTATATGAAACAATTAACAAAAGAGGCTTCAAAAGTGATATCAGTGTGCTACATCCTCAGCTGTCTGCTACCACGGGGCCTGGAGTTCAGAAAAGAAATACAAAGGAAATTTCTGAGAAACAGAATATGCATGTTTCCAACATAATTGGGAGTATTACTATGTACATACATGGAAGTGAAGGGAAGGAGGGGAAAACGTTTACCTAACTTAGATCATTTTAAGAGCTTCTTCAGTAAAAACAAGGCTGCCATGTCCTAAATATAAAATGATTGAAATTATTCATATTATTCAGACGTACTGTGTTCTTGCCTGATACAACCCTTTTGATGTAGCTAGCACGACCATGAGTATAAGATCAGGCTAGTGGCTTAGGAAAGGCAAATATATCATCTTTCTTTTCTTTCTTGCATTCTGTCTTATACGATACTTTCCTTTGGAGCTATTTATGTAGAAAATAAATTGTTTTGAGTACAAATGTAAAGACTGTGTGGGCTGGCATTTTCATACTTAACCTGTTTCTTGCTATTCGAGAAACACTGCATTTCAGAATTCATTTTTCACATCCACACAGCATTTCTCAGGCAACGTTTTTCCACTGACCTATTCTGCTGCTGGAACATGAAGAGCAGCTACAGACCTATGAAGAACCAGCTAACGATTTTAAGGTCTCCTTGGCAAAAACAGACCGTCCAAGTAAATTAGGACAGTT